ACCGGCGGCGAAACCGCCGCCGCAACCGGAGCCGGTAAACTAATCTTTCTCCTATGAATATCGCAGAGCATCCTCTTCTCTCCTCTCCTGAAGCAATCGTTCGCAAACTCCCATCGATCCGGCACAATTTTTCTAAACCCCTACAATTCCACCATCAATTACCAAATCCGATCAAACAATCGAAGAAGAAACCAAATCTCGAATCGAAAGAGGAAGGAAACTCACGTAGGTGTTGAGCTGTCGAACGAAGCTGGAGAAATTGTTGTGTTTGAAGTATTTGGGAAGTAGATCGCGAGCGAATTCTGCGGGTCGCCATACGACGAAGGTGGATCCATCTTCGTTCCACGAGATGACATCGTCGACGATCGGATCGTCGACCATCTGATAGGTTTTGGCGAGGAACGGCGTCGGGAGGGCTCGCTGCGGCTCCGGCGGCGGAGATTCGTCTTTCGGGTCGGCCGGCGGCGTAGCTGGGCCCATCTAGATCGCCGCCGATCGGAGAAATTGAGGGTTCTAGAAGTTTCGAGGTGAGGGAAATCTGGAAGCTCGAGACGAAGATGGGTTGGTTAGAGAGGACGAGGAAGTTATCCGAATAGGAAGGAGGGAGGAATCAGGGCCCGAGAAGGTACCACGATCGGCTTGCTCTGGAAGCTTCCATTGGTTCCTCTTCTATATAAATATCTTATTTTACACATAAATATAAATATTAAATATTAAATGTTAAATATATAAATACATAAAAATTATGTGATATATAAGTAAATAATCCTTTTTTTTTAAAAAGAAAATCATTAAGATTTGGGTTTATATTACGTGTCCTAATTTAGTAGGAGGATTGAAAAATAAATTTAATTTTTAATTTGTGATATTCTCTCTAATAATTTTGAAATGATTAATGCTTCTATCATATCATATTTTTTAGGAAGATTTACATATCTATCACTTAATTTTTATGTATTTACAAATCTAGCACCTAAACTCGACCTATGCATTAAAAGGTGAATTTCACTTTTTTTAATTCTTAAAGTAGTAGTCTTTTTAGTGTGGGATGAAGTGTTTGGATGATATATATGTAAATACATCAAAATTAGGTGATATGCATGTAAATGCACTTTGTATTTTTTTATAATGTCTACTTAACAATGGTCATGAGGATATTATGGAAAGATGAGTTGATAGAGTGTAGGAGGGTCGTAGTTAGAGGAAAGTGTGAGAGCTAGGTGTCCGCAATTCTCGGAACAACAGGTGATGGAGATGGGCCCAACTAAGGTGTCGACCGATCAAAAAGATGAATCTCCGCCATCGGAGCCGTAGCGAGCCATCCCGATGTTGTTCTTCTCCAAAACTTATCAAATGGTCAACAATTTGATCGTCGACCATGTCAACTCGTGGAAGGAGAATGGATCGTGATGGCAAGCAAAATTTGCTCGTGATCTTCTTCCCAAATACTTTAAACACGATAATTTCATCAGCTTTGCACGACAGCTCAACACTTATGTGAGTTTCCTTCCTTCTTTGATTTGATATTTGGACGAATGATCGATTGCTTGCTCAGAGTTGATAATTGATGGAGTAAGTGTTAGATGGAATTGTAGGAGTGCATCATCAACGGGAAAGATGTTTAAATAATATCAAGAAATTTTACGCCGTTGTTTTGAGACATTATTGGCTTAGAAAATTGGTAAATTACTATATATCTACAAAATTGTCTTCTAAATATAGACATAAATGTTCTTATACTTATAGCCATGAAAAGAAAATAATAAATAAAAACACAACAAAAGAGAATATTCTCAATAATGATGAGATATAAAAGTCAATAATAAAGATTTTATACTATAGATAGTATACACATATGAAAATATAGTTATGATAATAGGTTCCATCAAGGTTGATAATGAAATTGAAAATTTTCAGTAATATTGTCAAACAGATTGAAGGTTAGAAAGTCCTCATGTTTTTTTTTTTCTTAATCCTTTTGCACTTCAAATAGGAATAATAATGCTGTAGTATCATCAAAGTATTAGAGACTTTTTTCGAAAAGAAGGAGGATCGACAAAGTACTTTCCTATTTCAGTTGGATTACATTAGAGGTATGTTTTAAGCCCACATCTTTTCGCTTTAGCTCTTATCAGACGTTTACAAGAGGATGTACCTTAGTGCATGCATTTAGTTTATGATATCATTCCTTCTCGTGGATAAGATGAGAGAAAAAGCCCAGAAAAAACTTGATTTATAGAGGTTTACATTGGAGTCAAAAGGCCTTCGTTTGAGTAGATCTAAAACTGAATGCACATAATCTAATTTTAGTACAAGCAGCTCTAATGGCAGGGTTGTAATTATGGGTGATCAAATAATTAAATGATGTGAACATTTTAGATATCTCGGGTCTATTGTTCAAAGTGATGGGGATGTTATTAGTAGAATTCAGGTTGGCTGGTATACATCAGACCTATTGTGAGATAGAAAAGTATATGTTAGACTTAGAGTAAAATTTTATAAGATGGCGGTGAGACCTGCAATGTTTTATGACTCAGAATGTTGGCTTTTAAAAGTAAAGCATAAAAGAAAGTTAAGTGTTGCTGAGATGAGAATGCTTGGGTGTATGAGTAACTTGAAACTTAGAGACAAAATTTGAAACAAATCTATTTGTAAAAGGGTTGGTCAGAGTCGTCTTAGATTGTTTGGTCACATTAAACATCGACCATCGGTTAGGAAAGTAGATATTTTAGATTTGACTTATGTTAAGAAAGGTAGAAGTTGACTTAAAAAGACTTGGGAATATTGTTGGAAAAAAAAAGATCTTAATCTATCAGAATTAGATGAAACTATGAAACTCACTAGGACACAATGGAGAAGGATTCATGTAGCTGATCATCTGTAGTGTGGGATAAAAGCTTGTTGTTTTTTTTGTATTCATATCCTCTCTACTTACTATTTTACTTGAAAGGTAACATTAGAAAACCGTACTTATTCATTTTCCCTCTTCGCTCGAACCTCCTTTACAATGTCCAAGCTGTGTCATTGCTCCTCCGTTAATTGTAGCCTCAGCGTCATATTGAGGAATAATGCTTGTCACATAAATTTATGATTATTGATACAAAACTTGATCATAAATTATTTTTTTTGTCCCCAAAATAGCTTTATATATTTACTTTTTTCTCTTTTTCAAAAATTTTAAAAAACAGGCAAATTAAGTTATATATATATATATATATATATTATTTATCCAAAGATTTTACTAGGGAAATGCAAGGTGTCTAATTCGTAGATTTTGTTGTGCATAAACTAATAAAAAATAGTCATAGCATCTTTTTGGCCTTTATTTTATTTTATTTTCTTCATAAACATGCTGCTAGACCCTAAAACTACATTTGTCTTGTAATGCTAATTTATTTTTTGAAAGCTTCCACTTGAGAAAAGTTTTATTCCACCTCGCTTTTATAGAGTCATTAATAATATATTTAAAAGTTGCTCTCATGGCTTCATTATTTGATGTCTAGTAAATAGCATCATTCTGATTTTAAGATACGGTTAAATTGATTCTAAATTTATCGAACTTAAAGTCGAATCAAGCATCTTAACGAGATGACTCCAACGAGCCGAATATCACTCAATTTGACATCGTTGAGGCACTAAAATGTCCACAAAACGCCGTCCGATCGAGGGGATTTCTCTGAGTCGTTTAATGGAGTAATCTTGAGTCTTTCTTATTTGCCTGGAGGTCTCTCTCGGACTTTATAAATGGAGCCCTACCCTCTTCATGAAAGAGGGCCAAGAATTTGAACCCGGGGAAGCCTGAGACTTGGAGGAGGAGCTGAGTTCCAATGTTTCACACTAAAAGTCCAACGAACTCCACATGCTCCTATAATCGCTGATTGTTGTCGACTATTGCTCGTCAACCATTATCGATAACCATAGGGCGTCTTCTGCTCGTTGCAATAAGACCCCTTGCAAAATCATGACATGCGTTGCAAAATGCTGACGTACGTTGCGAAGTAGCAAAGCGCCCTACAGAGAAGTGTCACGATGCTCTGAAGTTGATGCAACATGCACCCCAAATATGGTGAAATGATATGCCCCGCATATGGTGCAATGATGCATCATAAATATAATGTAATAACGCACCTCTCAATGACTGCTCACAACCACCATATTCATATTATGATGCCTATCTCCATACTCATGAAGTTCTCTACTTGCAACTCTCAACTCCCACCTTACAGCTCCCAAATCCGACCTATAGATGTTATCACAACACGTGCATCTTTGAAGTCTGACCTCTACAACCTATAGAAGTTATCATAGCTCATGCAACTCCCAAATTTGATCCATATTTCCTACATAAGTTTTCTCCCTCCCAACTTTGGTCTCTACAGCCTACAAACATTATCTGAGCTTATTTTATTACCAGCCCCAACCCTTATGAACTATAGATGTTTTCTCAGCTTTTGTAGCCCCCAACTTTGACCCCTTTTTTTTTCTACGAATATGATATTCGTCCCTGCCCCTAAATTCACTCATAGTGAACTTCATTGTAAAATCAAAACGAATTCATAAATTAATTTGACATCTAGTTTTTTCAAATATCATGCACTGACTTTGCTTGTTGATCATGATTCAATGTCATGGGGGATGAGTTTCCAATGTTGTCACTTGTCGACGACTCCATAACAGAAGAAAGTTAAACCACAACTAGAGCTTCCACAACGAGTATAATTCCGATGGTGGATAAGGGTCTTTTGTCAAGAGACATATATAAGTCTCTCATTGAGGGTATTTTTTCTCGTTCTTTCTCTGTCCTCACTCTTCTTTCAATCTTAATTATGCCATCTTTTTTCTTACGCTTACCAAATAAAAAATCACGAGTTTTTTTTTTATAATTTTGATTTGATTCATTATGACATCCTCCATTTGTTGCAAGGATCACAAAGACAGCAAGACCAGAATATTTTATTCTCTTATTATTTTGGCAACTTAGTTAGAAGTCGCTAGAATATTTCAATTATATTTGAATAAAGTATAAGGCGGGAGTCAACTTCAATTGACTAGGCAATACAACTCGACAAATTAACTCACTTAGCCTGCTCGGCCGGTTTGTTCAATCAACCAGTTCAGCAAACTGGTTTGTTGGGCTAACTCAATGAGTCAAGGCTATATATTTAGTATAACATTGTAACCATGTTAATGTGTTTCCCCTTTTCTTTAGTAGTCATTTATATAACAGTCCTAAAGGAAGGCCAAACCTACAAATAGATCAAGGAGATAACCTAAAGGTGGGAGGATTCTTATTTGGATTCTGAGTAACTCCATGCACTTAAGATTTAGCAAATCTTCTTCATTCTCTTTTTCTATTTATATTATTTTGCTTTCACAAGTTTTTAGCTGTGTGTGAGTGGAGATAATTCTTGATTAAACATCCTTCAATTGATAATTATTTTTAAAAATAAAAAAAGTATTAGTTTTATAAATTGAAAAAGGCGGCCGGCGACTGCAAGAGCGATTGGTGATCCTTGAACCTTCATTATAGAATAGTGGACTTCAACTCCTTATGGATTCTCATCCAACCTCTGATCTTCATTTGGTTCAAGGTCTAAGTCCCCCTTAAGGAAAGGGGCAGAGTTCTATTTATAGAGTCTGAGAGTGTCTCTCATACAAATAAGAATTTTCTAACACTCCATTGAACGACAAAGAGAGGTTCCCACGATTAGAAAGTGTTTTTTGGACATTTGAGTGTCATAACGATGTTGAAATTGAGTGATCTTGGGCTTGTTGGACTCATGGTGTCGAGACATTTAATTTGGCGATAAGCTTGTCTAATACGAAGTCCGTTTGACCTTTTAATTGAGCATTAGAAGCTTCCAAAATTTTTAATTGTTTGATCTGAGCATGATTTGATTTGAATCGGGTCAATTTTGGTGTCATTAGGTCCATCTTATCAAGTCGATCAGTTTGCCTATAAGTTGCTTTAATCATATTTCTTTATAATTTTTAATGGGAATTTGCATTTTTTTTTTTTAAATGCAACAAGTTTCATGCTAAATGACATAATTTGTTGATGGCATAAAATTATATTTTTTTAATTACAATTAGGGGCATTACATACACACATAATTCTTATGTATTCATATAGGGACATTTACATTGATAGCTCACAACACATCTAAAATTTCATATTTCAATACATAGCACTCAAATATTTAATAAAACACTAAAATAGGATTAATATCAAAATAATAATATTATTATATTTTAAAAACAAAATACACATTTTCATGCAAAGGTTTAAAGTACCAATACTATGTATGTAAATATGAAAGTTTAGGTGTGATGTGCTATCAACAAATTTTTATCATCGAGCACAAATCTCGATGCATTTTTATAATAGATTTTTCAAATTTAAATTCATTAGCATCCAAGCTTTTATTTCATCAAATTTATAATCAAAATAAGACAAAACCAACGACTCTACAATTGGTTTAGTCAAAGTCTAATCAAGCTCATATAAAGCCATTGAAGTATAATTAAAAATTTTGGGTCATCAAATGAATAGTCTCAAATCGAGCGTCTCCATGAGAGAAATCCAACGAACTTAAAATCACTCAATTATAAAGTCATTAAAGTACCCAAATCCTTAAAAATTCACACGTGATTCAATCTGGTGGTTATGAAAATTATGATCAAATGATCAAAATGTCACACCAAAAAATCTAAAAATATGCCTCTTTTCACTTGGGGGAGGGAAAAAGAAGTAGAGAAGAAGGGAAAATTTAGAGCATTTTTGGAGAGAAGACATGACGACTAGCCACCAACCACCATAAGTCATCGACTACCGTCAACCACCGCCCATCATCACCACCCGCCGCCGTTGCCAACCACCGGCCGTCTGTCAATCACCACTTATTGCAACCATTGTTGTCAGATTTTGGTTGTTATTGAATTTCCTAGCATTTTTATTTTTTTGAATTATATAAGAATAAGTATAGTTTTCATTGCAAGATTGTAACTAAGTTCCCCTATCATGAAAAAAAGGCGTACTCATGTACTTACAAACATATAGTGGATTATTTTGATTGGGCTAAGTCATGTAGTTTTTTCTTTTAGGATTTTTTCACATAAAAATTATGATGTCTCCCCTCTACATTTCCTTATATGTGCGTGCACTAAACTTTCATACAATGTTAAGATGATAAATCATTACTCCATTGTCCTGAAAGCTGCAAGGTGTAAGATATGTAAATAATTAAGAATTACTTGCTAGGTATATAAATTCCCATTTAGTCGTGAATTCTAATCATCTTTTATTTATTGATATATAGATATAGATATAGATATATAATTACCCGTAAAAAAACCTAAATTCTCTATTATTTATAGGTGCAATTACATATAAACCAACAGAAACTTCCTATTTACAAATCAGCCATCCGCTTTCATCCATTTTGCAAATTCTAGCCCAAATATCAAAATTCATGTAAAACCCCAACCCATATTTTTCATTTATTTCAAAAATTTGGCGGTGGCAGGCATAAATAGGGCTGTCAATTTGGCTCGTTGTTTGTGAACAGCTCGTGTTCGACTCGTTCGTTAAGCCTAACAAGCCGAGCACGAACAAATTTTTAAGCTCGAAATGTAAACGAGCCGAACACGAACAAAAGTTTATTCGCTCGTGTTCAGCTCGAAATGGCTCAAAAAAAAATTATATAACTTTTTATATAACAATATATTACATATATTATTTATATAATAATATATTATATATATTTATATCTACGTTTAAATCATAACACCTCATGTGGCAATGTGGTTAGTGTCTTCTTTTGTATAGATTTGATCCAGGCTCAAATCCCACACTTTACATCTATTTTTCTCAATTTTAATTTAACGAGTCAATTTCGAGCCGAACACGAACAAGAATATTTAAATTGAGTCAAACACGAACACACTGCTCACGAGCCGATTTCGAACACGAGCTATTTCGAACGAGCCGAACACGAGCCAAGCCTGAGCACTCAAGCTCGGCTCGTTTACAGCCCTAGGCATAAATACATCAGTTTAATGGTTCAAAATAATACATGGATGGATAATTTGACAATATCAATGCTTCAGGCGCTCTGAATGTAATTATTCCATGTATAAATTGCTGGTATCAAAGAACCACAAGATAGTCTCTTCATCTAAATATAAAATCTTGAAACAGTTAATGCATAATATAATTATAATGATTGTGAAATCCACCTGGGCTAATGATTAGGAGCATTGTCTTTTGCCATAAGATCTGAAGTACTATTATGATAAAAAATAACAAAAATGCAATTATGGGAGTCCAAGAAGATGGAAGATGAAGCCTTTGAGAAAGTGGTCTAGACTTTAAGAGCTTGTTTTGGGCATAGAAACGAGCACTTATCCCACTGAAATGAGGGTCAACATGCACATAAAGAGGTACAGAGTAGCAAATTTGTGCTAAGAACAAGATAGTCTCTCCAATATGATGTTCGATGAAGAGCAATAAGATGAGAATGAGCATTAATGTTGTGAACTATGAAAGGATTTAGTCTTGAAACATTTTATATTCAAATTCAAGATCATTTGGGCCCTGATTCCAAGAAGTTTTAAAATCAAAATGACTCTCGAAACACCCGATGAAACCAACATTGGTTTACTATGAATATGATCGAGCTCATATCGAGTCATTTAATTGGAATTGGAGGATTTGGATGAACAATTGAATAATCAAATAGAATCTAATTCTGATAAGTTTATAGTCAAATCAAGCGGCTCATTTTCCGAATACAACAAGCCAATATCACTCGATAGTGATATCATTAAGCCATTCAAGCGCTCTTAGAATATCATCTGATTGAAGGGAAGTTGAAAAGAGATCCAAGCTCCACCACTGCCAGACCATCGCCGTCAAGCTCTATCACCGCTAGATAGCCTCCTTCAAGTTCCACTGTCGTCGAGCTCCACCACCATCAGATTGCCACAGTCGAGCTCCACGATTGTCAAACTATCATTGTCAAGCTCCACCACCGCTAGACCATCCATAATTAACCTTCGTCATCGAGACCTTCGAATTGCCATCGCTAAACTGCACCCCTATTGAACCACTAATGCTCAGTCACTGACATCAAGCTGCAAGACCACTGAACCACCAATGACAGCTGTCATCATCAAGCTCCACTATGGTAGGACGGCCTTTGAGAAAGTGGTCTAGACTTTAAGAGCTTGTGTTGGGCATAGAAACGAGCAATTATCCCACTGAAATGAGGGTCAACATGCACCCAAGTGGTACAGACTAGCAAATTTGTGCTAAGAACAAGATAGTCTCTCCAATATGATGTTCGATAAAGAGCAATAAGATGAGAATGAGCATTAATGTTGTGAACTATGAAAAGATTTCCTCTTGAAACGTTTCATATTCAGATTCAAGATCATTTGGGCCCTGATTCCGAGAAGTTTTATAGTCAAAATGACTCTCGAGACACCCTATGAAACCAACAATGGTTTAGTATGAATATGATCGAGCTCATATCGAGACATTTAATCGGAATTGGAGGATTGGGATGAACAATTGAATAATCAAATAGAATCTAATTCTGATAAGTTTATAGTCAAATCAAGCGGCTCATTTTCCGAATACAACAAGCCAATATCACTCGATAGTGATATCATTAAGCCATTCAAGCGCTCTTAGAATATCATCTGATTGAAGGGAAGTTGAAAAGAGATCCAAGCTCCACCACTGCCAGACCATCGCCGTCAAGCTCTATCACCGCTAGATAGCCTCCTTCAAGTTCCACTGTCGTCGAGCTCCACCACCATCAGATTGCCACAGTCGAGCTCCACGACTGTCAGACTATCATTGTCAAGCTCCACCACCGCTAGACCACCGATAATAAACCTTCGTCATCGAGACCTTCGAATTGTCATCGCTAAACTGCACCCCTATTGAACCACTAATGCTCAGTCACTGACGTCAAGCTGCAAGACCACTGAACCACCAATGACATGCTATCATCATCAAGCTCCACTATGGTAGGACACAAGTGTCTGACTACCACCATCAAGCTCCACGACCGTCAGACTAAAAGTGTCCAACCATCTACACCTGACCACCACTTCTCCAACAAAAGACACCCTACTTATGTGGTACTGCTTTCAGCTATTCAAGGGACAGCAAAGTATTGTAATTACAACATAGTGAAACCATTTCAATTGGGTCAAAACCATGTTTTTTCTCTTATGGATTTTCCATGTAAAAAAATGTTATCCTCTCTGTCAATTTCTCTTTATATATATGTGTGATGGATCTTAGTGTAACACTAAAACATTAATATATCACACTACAACCGCCAATTTACTTGCATGCAACAAGTCTATTTAACAACAGTCCAATACCAGAAATGAAATGCAAATAGAGAGCCCATAAAGATCATTAGAGCTTCTTAAAATTCAAATATAATACAATAGATTGTGTGCAAACAGAAGTTCATGACAAGAGTAGGCCAAATGCGAATCAAACACGAAAAAAAAAGCACAAAAGAGGCGGTCAAAATAACCAATGCAATTCTTTTATATAAGATGATTAGAATTCAAGAGTCAACAATTTCAAATAAAGGGCAGTATTAGCCCAAAAGAGACTGAATTCCCCTATTCAGCATTAAAAAATGCCCATTTTGTTCTCCAAACAACATACTCAATTTATTGAACAAAATGTTTTTTTTCTTTTTCCTAAACAAAATGATGTGTAGGGTACTCCTGTTCATGACCATTATAATCATAATATAATCTCTCGCCTTTTGAAATATCCCTATTAGCAACAAGCAGAACTCTGCACTCGCCATCAACATCATATCTCACACATTTCAAATTCTGCTTCTTCTTCCCGTCCCTGATTGCAGAAAAATAACAATTTTTTTTTTTATAAGAACACTCAAATCTTAATCAAATGTAAAAGAAATTAGTGCATTAAGAAAGTTAGGTTACAGCGTGTAATTGTTGATGCCATTAATGAACCGAGCAATGTTGCTGTGTTTATCAGGGCAAATTACGAGACTTTTTGATCGATTTTTAGCTGAAAGCAATGTCATCATGCTGTCTCCATCATCATGTTCCCTCTTCTCTAAGAAATCAACATCACCAACATATTCGGTGATTATTGTTAGGTCTTTGATGGATCTATCTGCCTCAACTGTAAACCTGCAATCATCCAATACAGATTACAAAATTCAATTCAGATTGAAAAAAAAAAAATTCACTTTTTCATGGTTCAAAATTAAAAATTTGAACCAACAGATTTAAAAACTACTCCCTCTCATTAAACAACTCTCTTTTGCCAGTCAATTCAAAGAAAAAATTACCCTTCGCGGGGATCAAAGACAACCAAGAGAGGTGGGCATTCTCCTCTTTCCATCATTCTTTTGCACAGATTCAATGCTTCAGCATCCTCCTTCGACAGAACCTAAAAACATTTACAAGCAAACAAAATCTTTGAGAACTTTCATCGAACACCTAGTGGCCAACTACTCTAGCAATCGTCACCTGCATCCCGCCATCCTCTAGTTCAGCGCGATTAGCGGACCTCGGGGCCATTCCGGAACAATAAGTGAGATTGTCCCTAAAGATTGCCCCAGTTGTAGTCAATGCAGTGGCAAGAGAAGCCATTTGTTCCATTCTTCTTCCTGGATCCTCACTCGGGCTATACGGCAGCAGCTTTCTTTTCTTCTTCGCCACCACTAACCCTCCATGCCGCTTCTTCCGTTTCCGGCTCTCTGCCTTATCAAAACCAGTCGTCGATCTCTGGATCCGGAAGAAATCGACGATCTTCGTCTGGATTAATGGGAATGCTGCAATGTAATGAAGAAAACCAGCATATAAATCTTTGAAAAGAACATAAAACCATGAGCCAACTATCGCAAAAACGTCGAGAAATTTACGCTTGGGATTCTTGCTGGATGAGCACGAAGGACAAAACCAGGATCCATAAGGCACGCAGGCGAGGATGGGTCGAAGGCAGAAGAGGTGAAACCCTAAATCGCACCCATCGCAGAGCACGAGCTCGTCGGCGCAGTCGCCGGAATGGCAGTTATTGCACTCGATCGAATCAATGCGAGCTTTTTCGTAAGCATTCAAATACCTGGCCTGCGTTCTTCGCCTGAAGGGAGTTTTGGGAGCCACGGCAGCCATGGAGAGAGAAAGAGAGGGGAATAGGGAGATGGGAGCTGCACAGTTTCTTTAAGATTGGGGTAAATGAGAGAAGATGGAAAGCATTAGAGCTCGGGAGAAAATTTGGGACGGCGGGAATGTCGGATTTGGCGGGAACCAGGCGCCGGGGTTTCGGTGAGGGTGAAATAGGGCGGGAAGGGGGAGGGATTCTTCCTCAGTCGTGTAAATTTGGTTACTTCATCGTTATAGGGGGAAAAACATTGGGTGCGATAAACTACGTAGCGCTGCTTGTGATATTGGGTTATATCGATGGTACAAGGGGGTTACATTCATTTGGTTACTTCATCGTTATAGGGGGAAAAACATTCGGTGCGATAAACGTACGTAGCACTGCTTGCGATATTGGGGTTATATCAATGATATAAGGGGGTTACATTTGCGGTACAACCCTTTGTAACCTCCTTGTAACTTCTTGTAACATATTTGTACCCCAAATACGTTTCGCGCTTCTGTTATCATATATTAAGAGGTTACACATAAGTTACAGTGAGGTTACATGGAGGTTACAGGGGGTTATACCGTGGATGTAACCCCCTTGTACCCTCGGTATACCCCAATATCGCACGCAGCGCTGCGTATGTCTATCGCACGCAAATTTTTTCCGTTATGGGGAGGGTATTGGCAGATATATTTGTTATATTCTCTGTATCTCTAATTTATCTGTAACTTATAAATATATAAAATTAAAATAGTGGAACTTACTAGAATGGACAAGTAGGTTACAGGGAAGTTACAGAGGATACAACGTGAATATAACCTCTCAATACCCTCTCTATAACTCTGACGTACGCTGTGTACGTTAAATTTGTTCCCTAAAATAGGGCGGGAAGGGAGAGGACTTCGGATTACTTCGATTCTTGTAATTTAAAATTCATAAATTAAATTGTTTATTTTATTCTTTTTAAAATATATTTTGGTGCATTTACACACATACCACCAAATTTCTATGTATTTGCATGTCTGAGATCTAGACTTTTCCTTTTTACAATTGTAGCACCAAAATTTTGTGATATGTTAGCTTTTAAAAGGTGAAATAACATTTTGAGGCATAGGGAAAGTGGAATGTGTAAAGATTGAAGTTTGGGTATTAGAGATGTAAATACATTATAATTGAGTGATGTGTGTGTAAATATTGCATAAATAAATTTAATTGTTGTAGATTTATTGGGATAAATTTGGGTGATCATATCTTGACCGGAAAAAATCATGTCACAATATGAATATTAAATTCATTTATTTTATTTTAATTTGAGATTAAATATATTTATAATTTATCGTCTAATTAAAAAAAAATGTAACTAAAATAAAACAAGATAAAATAAATAATAATAATATTAATATTAATATTAATATTAATTAAAGAAGTTCTTGTCCTTTCTAGTTACTATAATCTGCATAAGAGTTTTTGCGGAAGCGTTAGTGCATTGTATATCCATAACAGTTACTAGAGGTATAATTAGGGCTGTCAAAATAGCTATTGTTCGCCAACTGCTCGTGTTCGGCTCGTTCGCTAAGTTAGCGAGTCTAACACGAACAATACAAATAAATATTTGTTTGTTCATGTTCGGCTCGTTTTGACTCGAAATACTACTATTCCATTACGTGTTCGGCTCATTTTTGCTCGAAATACTTATATATATATATATATATATCTTTGATGAGCAGTTTTTTTAAAAAAATTAATTTAATTTAGATTCAAATGATATTTTAAATCTTGTCCAATTCCTTAACATTTTATAGCTACGTGATTAGGTTGTCAAAACGACTTTGTTCGTGAACGGCTCGTGTTCAGTTCGCTAAGCAAACGAGCCGAACCGAAACACACTTTTTGAGCTCGAAATATAAACGAGCCGAGCACGAGCGAAGCCTGGGCTCGCTCGTGTTCGGCTCGTTCAAACCCCTAGGTATGATATTATAGATGGAAAGTATAACTACTGTCATTTTTAATATATATCATTAGTACTAAAGATTTTGTCATTTATTATTTTTTCTTTATTTTTCTTTTATTTTGGATATATCTAGCCAATATATATATATATGTATATATATATATGTATACCTAAATGCCACGCAATTTTTTATGCATTAACTGGTCCATGCCGTCCCAGGAGCTGAGGCCAGCGCAATCGCCACTGAACCATTCTGGCCCGACCGGCCTACTGTGGCATGCACGACAGATGTCGACCGTGTGAGCACCGCCGACTTCCTCCTCGTGTTGCCGTCACACCTTCGCTACGCCGCTCATCAGCCCGTCGTCGCTGTCGGCAAACGTCCCTGCCCGCAGCGCCTGCAACTCGTGCAGGCAAGCATTCGCAAGAAAGCACCCACGAGTGTTTAAGGGCACCCGCACCCCCACGCATTGCAACTTTGCTGATGTTCGTACTTGCCTGTGGATCCCATTGTGTTCATTTGCTCACATGTGCGAGATTGTATGCCCGGGTGTGCATGCCTACATGCAAAAATGTTGGGTTGGGTTGTGGTTGTTCGGGCACCGGCGCACCGCCGACGTACACTACGACATGATCTATTTACTTTTTTTTTTTTTCTTTTTTGGAGGATATAAAATAATGGCCGGAACTTTCATAACAACTTTTATATTTTGGCACAATACAAGCACCAATGTACTAAAAATAAGGAGGCAATTCACGTGTCATCAACAAGTCTTATCAATTAACATGAATCTAGAGACTATTGTTTTGCAAAAAATGCTACAACTCAAATTAAAAATCAACTAGGGCTCTGATTTCACCAAATTTATGGTCAAACTGATCGCCATTATAAGATGAACCCAATGATAACAAAAGTAGTCTAATTTAATTCCATTCAAGCTTGGATTAGGCCATTGAACCATATTTGGAGGGTTTTAGTAGTTAATTGGAGAGTAAAATGAATTTCAAATTTGATGTACTTATAGGCAAATCAAGTATCTTGACGAGAGCAATCCAACGATCCCAATATCACATTCCAATGCCATTAAGCCATAGGATTATAAAAAAATCTTATGTAATTGAGAGGGATTAATATGACATGTTCGATCCGATGGTTATGAGAGTTATTTGTCAAATGACTAAAATGCCCCTCTATGGTGCCTATAGATAGAGCATCTCTCCACTTGATAGAGGTTGAAGAGTCTAATTATAATATTATTCTGGACTGAAGTCTCGGCGATAACTTCTAACATCTATAGTTGTCGACCGAGCACGCTGCCCACCTCCCATTGTCGACCACCATCGACCGCCCCTTGCATGCCACTTTTGGTGGACATTGTTGAGTAACGAAGTACTCTATTGAGAAAAGGAACACTCTCTGGAGTAACAAAGTGTTCTGCAAGCAGAGTAAGGCAACATCCCAAACACCATGTAATGACGTACCCTAAACACTTTACATTGAAACCCAACAATAACTCCCTGTGTCAACTGCTCTCAATCACTATATTCAAAATACAATGAACTTTTTTTTTATGTTATTTATGAATAAATATTGTAGTTGGTGTAATATTATAACTACTCATTTGCACGATAAGAGTTTATTTTTTGTTCTTACAAATTTACAAAGAATCATTTTAATAAGACGAGGCCTCATCATTTTTCTTCTCATTCAAAAATTTTCTCATAAAAAGTCCTGATATTGTCTCTTGCCACTTTTTCATTATCCATGTGTGTGTTGAATTCTTGCAGAACAACTAGACATTAGGCTATTACACAACAATAACATATTTAAGATAATTGTATTAGAAGTCAGTTTTAGCAGATAGGTGATTTACATTCATAGCATTTAAAACTATTAATATCAAATATCCCACACCCAAACTTCAATACTTTGCATCATTAGCACATAAGACATTCAAATAACAACAAAATAAATTATCGGAGTGCAGAGGGGATGGTAGCGTACGAAGAACAAAATGGAGAAAGAGGATTCAAGGCAAAGCGAGAATTAAGACTGGATTGCGTCCTACGAAGGAGAAAGATGGGAGCTGATTATCATCAATGGTTTCAAGTAGATATGCATGTTAGAAGGAGCAGAAATGTGATTTAAGGCAAAATGGGGGGAACTAATGGATTTCAGAAACATATGGGAGGAGATGATGTTTTTCTTCATTTTAGTAATTGTATACATAAATTTGGGTATACAAAAATTTTTGTTAAATTTCTATCATTAAATCGAGCCCACCTGCCGAAGCACCTGAATCAAGCTTATCTGCCAAAGTGGCTAAATAGAACCGGGCTACCAATTTGATTATTCTCATCTTCCTCGAATGAACAACCTAGCCAATTTATGCTATGATAGCTATAAGAAAAAATCAACACAACTAATGAAGACCTCCACCAATCCTTATTATGGACCAATGTTTGACATTTGGAACTTGCTCCTTTTATCCATATATCAGAGACGACCACAATACCAACAATATCTGACATCCCCTAGTAAAACCTGACATTTTTTTCAAAGTCTTCTATCAAAACACTAGAGAAATACAACATATAGTACAAGAAGCACCACTTCAATTATTTTATTGATTTGCTCCATTATGTATACATGGGGAGGGAAAATGAGAGTAAGAAAAGGGCTCTCCATTTCTCTCTAGATCCTCCATCTATTTGTCTCCCATCTTTAAGGATCTTTCTCGATCTCCATTACCTCTCTAAGGCTCTAACCCAAGGAACCCCAAAGGAGCTGCCTCTCTATGACTAACGAGAGATTAAAATTTAATACATTTCTTAAGGTTCTACTATCACTTATCTCTCTCTATCACTCTCTCTATGAAACATGCTCTCTTACTAGGTTGTATTTACCCACGAATGGCGCGAGACCCTATGACTTAAAAAGGATTCAACATCCTGAAATGTGCAATGCGCATGGAGTTCATGGGCCAATTCTAAAAAAAGATCTAAGAATGATGAATTATACAAGAGAGTTCGTGACTCAGCAAATGAATGAGTTGAGAGAATTAATGATGAAAGAAACACATGACATGAGGAAAGCTTCCCGAATGCATTCTTAAACTAGAACACCTATTAGATTGTCTAGATCATTAACCCACATTCAAGATCCGCTGAGGATATAAGTTGTGTCGAAAATAGGAGCCGCGCCATAGTAAGAACGATCTGGTCAAGAGGCACGAAGACAGGAGCAACCGAGACAAGAGTTGCATGCCTAGTATTTACTAAGATTCTGAGCAAGAAGAGCTCTTAACCTAAATTTTGAGCGAGAAATATTGTGCACGGACAATTTTGACCGCCCGAAGATGATGGACTAGTTGCAGACTTAGATGGAGAAGAAAGAAGGAGACGAAGGTTTTGTCCTAACTACTATGAGGAAGAAGTGAGGAGACGAAGGCGACATAGAGTAGAAGAAAATCCATTCTCAAGATAATTTTCAGTGGTTGAGGCATCAAAGAAGTTTAAGATTCATCTCTAGCATCTTATAAAGGGAAATCTAACTCCACTGATCACCTCGCTTAATTCAAGTCAGCCGCCAATTTGCTCAGATAAATGATGCGTTAAATGTCGTTCATTTTGCATGAAATTGAAGGAATCAACCTTGTACTAGTTCAACCACCTACTGGTAAAAGTCATTACCTCTGTAAGCATATTTAAGTAAATATTTGCAACTCAGTTTGCTAGTATGCAAATTCCCAAAAAAAAAACTCGCAAGTTCCCCGAAAAAACTCACAAGTTCCCTTGATGATACATTAATAACCTACTGAAAGCTTAAGAAGCTTCATCACTCACTTTCAACGAGGGGTGTTGGACATCAACAATCTGGAGCCCACTGCCGCTCACATAGCTTTAACCTAAGACCTGCATGAAAGGTAGTTTCGACACGTGCTTGGCTTGCAGAAGCCAAACACACTGACATACCTCCTTGAGCTTGCAAATAGTCACATCTCTGTATAGGAGTATAATTCTCATCCTTGACCTTCACGACCACCAGAGTATAGGGACAGATATCACAACCAATCTCTATTCTTAAGATGATCGTCGAGACCAGAAGAGACATTTCAGGAAGAGAAACCCCTAGAACACCCATGATAAGAACACCTGTCTAAATTGATAAAGTAAAAAAGAGATACGAGTAGAAAAAAAAGCAAGAAAAGACTCAGGAGCTACTCAGGCTCCCTTTTCTCCTATCGAAATCACACCATTAAGGGTTTTAATGGCAGAAGTTATAGAGACCATCCAAAATAAGAATTACTTCAAGATTCTATTTCCAATGAAAACACACACACATGCTTGTGATCCTAATGGGCACTGTGCACATCATCGAAATCATGGTCACGATATAGCAGAATGTTGGCATCTACACAATTTGATCGAAGAACTGATAAAAAACGAAAAAGTGAAGGAGTTCGTGGCCCCCGAAGCCTACACCAAATGATAGGGTAAAGGCGGACCGAAGGTAATAATAATGTGCCTGCTCCAACGAGACCGGTCCACGCCGTTAGAGTCATACAAGCCATCCTCGAAGAGGACATACCCGAGGCTGCGTGAAGGTCTAGCCTAAAAAGGCTGAAGAGAGTTTGTGAATTAAAACCCAATTATGTTGTTTAATTATATTATTATCATTATTGTAATTTTTATTACTATTAAATTCATTCACAAGCCCATGAAGACCGCATGGTAAGGTCTTTTAATATGTGACTTCGTTGCTGACGTGCGCTTGGGCTCTTGTATTACGGCCCGAAGGGCAATGATACATTTACTAGACTTTACTTTATAGGCCCATATCGGCAGGTTTTCTTGCTTACAAAAAAAAAGTAAGTGAAATTTTTTACAGCAATATTGTCCATAAAAAACTTCCAAAATCTAAAATAATGCATGGAATAGCCCAAAAGTCATATACTTGCATATAAAGTATTTTTAAGATACTTAAGTATCTTAATGATTGCAAATTAATTTGATATTGAGAGTTGGGGTGAAAGTGAAGGCTGACTTGTGAGCCGGCTCGTGCTCGATTCGATAAGCGGTTCATGAATTGAGCTCGATGAGCTAACTAGCAAAGCTCAAGCAAGCTTTGACTCAAGGGGAGCACCCACATAGGGTCCATGGGAGACAATTACCCCCCTCAAATTCATATTTTTACTTAGATGAGAGGATAATTTGGTCTTTTGCCCTTCATGAACTATCAACTTTTGCACCTCCTGAAATATTATTTTGTCCTTCGTTGCGCTAGCCTCTCCCATGTTGGGTTTAAGAGGCAGTTTGTCTCCTCAAAAAATAGAGGCTTGTTCACCTCTGTCTGACTTGACTCGTTAGCTTGTGAGACAAATTTTAACAATTAATAAAAATAATACTTAACATATATCAAACTTCAAGATTTTTCTTTAAATTCTTAAAAGTGTTTGAAAACTGATATCTTATATTTTACCTCAAGTGTGTTTTTATTAATTATTCCTAAATGCTTCTTCCATTTATCATTTCATTATAACAATAGCTTGACTTAATATTTTTTATCTCTTGCTCATGAGCTTGCTTCAACTCATAGAATTAAGTTCGAGCTTGAGCTAAAACTCGATTAATCTATCAACTTCAAGCTCAAGTACAGTGTTGCTCGAGCTAGACTCGACTCGTTTGCACCTCTAATTGAGAGTGTTAGACGACTCTCACTGAGATACTCGATATTCCTAAAAACATACAAATTTTAGACATAAAAGACCATTCGGCGAATGTCCCGAAGTTTCTCTTTATATTTCAAGTGTTTGATTTGGACCTTAAAGTTAAATCATGCACTTGCCAACATATTATCATAATTAGAATCCTATTAAAACTTTCTTAATGCATAATCAGCTCTAAAGCATTCAATTTCATAAGTTCTAATTAATCACTGCAATATAAATGCTTAACGTCGGTTTTATACTTATTACAATTTATGGAAACATAATAAAGAGAAGTTTACACTTATACCCCTGCAACAAAATAGTTCCTCGCATATTTAGATCAAGCAATTTCAATGCCATTAGGCTTGTTTCTCTGAAATATTACTAGAGGTGGTTGATAACACGTCTGAATGACAATTCGGATGCGACCATACGACAGTAGATCGCACGGCTATCCATTCGTACTGTCGTCCAGACTTGCGGTGAGCCGTACATTATAATATATCTCATTAAAAAAAATAAATAAAAATAGACTAATAAATTTAAATGATATCAACATGTGAAGGCCTAAGCATCCTAAAAACCACAGAAATATATACTTTTTACTAATATATAAGTTAATAAAAATGTGACTAAAAAGTATTTTTCCATTATTTTATACATAAAATATGAACAAACAAATCATATACCTCTACATGACAAGGGAACAAAAATATTCTTCACTCAGAAACCTCATCATTAGGCTTTTCCAATTGCCACAGCTAATCTGTCCATCAAAAGGAGCTAGCAGATCCACTCTTCTCTGTTTCCCCAGCAGTTATCATCCACACCACACGTATCTTCCTCATGGAAACTGCTCAGTGGCATCAACAGGTAATCAATAATCAAATTAACACAAAAATATCAATCTTTTTGCCTTTTCTTTTTGATATTTATAACTTTAAATCATCACTTCCTCCTCCTTTTAATCAGAAGATGATAGTTTCAGTCTTCAGATTGCTCTTTCCTGTTTCTGTCTCTTCTTTTTTACTTTTATCTGTCTTTGTCTCTCTTTTTTGAGCTGAAATGCAAAAATGATGGCATGAAAAATGAAAAATGTAATATGGACCCCATGAAAAGGAGAAAAAATTGAGCATGTAAGACGTTAGTAATATAGGGAAGTAATATGGACCCCATGAAAAGGAGAAAAAATTGAGTATGTAAGACGTACGCAGCGATTAGTAATATAGGGAGGTTATTCAGAGGGTATTGGGGAGTTATAGACGCGTTATACCCACTGTAACCTCTCAGTAACCTACCTGTTAGGTAGGTTTAACAGGTAGGTTACAGGGAGGTTACAAGGGTTATAATGCGGATAAAACCTATCAATACCCTCTGAATAATCTCCATGACGTACACGGCGTTACGTACGCGCAAATTTTTCTCTATGAAAAGTTTCTCCTCACTTTTTGCTGTATTTTTTTCCGAACATCTTTTCAGTTTTCTTCTTCTGTTTCTTCTGTTTATCTTTTTTGTTTTGATATATATGAAGTATCTGTGTTCAGGGACTGGAGAGGAAGGTGAGGCCTTACAAGGAGAAAGCTTTAAACTGTCCAAGATGCAACTCAACAAACACCAAATTTTGCTACTATAACAATTACAGCTTCAGCCAGCCAAGGTATTGTTATTAATTTGATTTTATTTGTTTAATATCCTATGTTAGAGTGGATTTAAGCAAGATTTAGCCTAAGTTTTGTCAAATTGATTTTTTAAAATTTTTGGAGGCTTTAAGTTTTATTATTTTGATGAATCTTTTTATTAATTAAATTTTGGATTTGTAGTTGATTAAATCCCAGTCTTCATGTAGACCTAAAAAGATTTCTCCTTTACATAAATTTAAAATATTAAACCAAATAATCACATAAATAATCAAATTATAGCATAATTTAACATTTGTTATACAACAACGTTTGTTACCTTGGGTTGCTGCGTTCGGACAACGGCTGCGATGCACTGATGATCGTGAGGTTTCCCTTAGCTGCGATCAATGCACCCCAATGATTATTCGGACGCGGCACTGCTTCGGGAAAACTTACACAATTTTATTTTTTCCAATCTATGAGACTGTGCTTCACTCTTATAATTTACATCTCCACAGATTCTTCTGCAAGTCATGCAGGAGATATTGGACACAGGGAGGAACCCTTAGAAATGTACCAATTGGTGGAGGCTCAAGGAAGAAGAAGAGATTCAACCCATCTTCATCCTTACCTCCACCTGCAGCAACAAAATCAGCTCCTATAGTTTCCTCCACTTCAATGAATCTCCAGCCTTCTAAACTCATTCCTCATGAGCTCAGCTCCTTCTCCCTCTTTTCTTCTTCTTCCTCCATGTCTGCAACCAGGAGTGGAATCTCATTTGAGGGCTCGAGTTTAAGCAAGGAAAATGAACTCTCAGCAAATGCAAGGAAAAGGCTGCGCATGTTAGCTCCTTCTTCCATGAGCTTGTATTGTCAGGAGCTTCATGCATTGGGTTTGCAGAAGCAGGGAGGATTCGGTATGGAAGAGCTTATGTGGTCAGGGGTAAAGCTTCCATTACAGTATGGAGTTGGTGGCATGAAGGAAAGTAAGGAGGCGGGAGGAGATGGGGAACATGCATTGCCTTTTGAGGATTTGAATCAAGTTACCGTTAAGGGTTCTTGTGATGAGATTGTTGGGGGAGTAGATCCAAGTTTGTTTTGGGAAGGTGTAATGGGTAATGATGGTGGAGGAGGAGGAGGAGGAGGAGGATGGTAGAGGAGGAGGAGGATGGTAGAGGAGGAGGAGGATGGTAGAGGAGGAGGAGGATGGTAGAGGAGGAGGAGGATGGTAGAGGAGGAGGATAAATTATTAGGTACGGAAGATGTTCGGTGTCTGAACATGATAATTTTTCTAGAAAGTCCAGATGACAGCGGTGTGAATTATATCACGCTGCTGTGCAAATGACATAGTGCGATCTGCACCGTCGTCCAAATATCCAGACGAGTTTTGAGGGGTATGTACTTTGAGAAAGATTAAAGTTGTGATACTTTTGTGCATTAGCTACTTTTATTGTGGTTGATGATTTGCATGAATTTGCTTCATTTTAAGTCATGGAAGAACCAAGGGTTAGAGGTTGCTCTCGAATTGCTATGTTTTAAGAAAAAATATTTTTATGCGAGTATATATATACATGATACTTTTCTCTTTAAATCAAGCTTCGTTACCTTTAAATTTAAGATTATTTTTTTTCCTAATTAAAAATGATTCGGGGCCTACAGTGATCATTAGTAACCAACATTATTTTGAGGGTGGGCAAAATCAAAAAATATTTTGAAGGTGGGACAAAACTATTAAATTATCAAAACTAGATTAAAAAAAGGTTAAATTTTACCTTTTATTTTTTTGTTAAATTTATTATTTATATAAAAAAATGATATATTTTTTAATTTTTTTGTTAAAAAAATGAAGAAGCATGACATATATGTAAAAATGATGAAACATGACATATATGCAATAAAAATTATTTGATAACTTTCAGCTTTATTAGTAAAATAAAAAAGAGCTCAACTTTCTATCTATCAATCTATCAATATATATATATATATATATATATA